AAATTAAATCAACAGTGACCTAAAATCATATTTCAATAGCTATTGGCGATACACTTCATATACAAAATAATTCAGAAATAAAACTATTCACAAGACTAGTATTGACAGAAACAAAAATAATGAGATTATTCAATAGAATTCGTTAAATGAAATTATCCTTCATTGGGTTAGGATCTAGAGTCCTAATCAAATTCTACCCTGTGATTTTAGGATTTGGTGACAAGATTAAGCCAATCAACCAAGAGTTTGGGTTCTATTGGGATACATCTCCCTATTGTTATAAATAAAGGCCTTTGGGTACTAGATAAATCATTCAATCCTACCCCATTCACTCCACACTTTTCTTTGACTTGCAATCTGACATAAGTATCGGAGTTCCTCTGGCCGTCTCCGACCATCGATTGACCTAGGTGTTCTCTCGTTTCGTGAGGCTTCTTCACCACCTTTTCCATTCTTACTAGTTGGTTACTCTTTGTGTGAACTTATGCCCGCACAATTGACTCCGTCTATGGAAAACAACTAACTTTTATACCAACAAAGAAGCCTTGAATCATGTCCTTTGAGAGACCCCTCGTCTCAAGAACCAACTGGACAACATTTCCACTACCTCGAATCCTTGAAGATCCCATTAACTATGACCTCCAATTATCAGAGGTCGTACTACTCCGTGATAGATAGGAGCACTCTAAAGAAAACCCTTCTCATTACAACCTACCTGTCATTGGTGCAGAGGCGGGTTAGCTACTGAGTTGGATTACCTTGAGGCATTAGGGGAGAAGACGGAGGGGTTAGAATCACTCAAGCATGGACACCTTCTCCAAAGTGGCAATAAACTTGGTAGTTAGGTCATACGCTCACCTCGTTAAAGTGACCACCACAATGATCACTCACATGAGACTCAATCCATCTATCATAGGAGTAGATCACTAACAAGGACCAATTCGACCCATGAGAGGTATCAAGGCAAATATTCACTAAGACGCACCATTTCTCAAATCTTTCCTAGGGACCCTTCACCCAAACGACACCATCCTCATTATATGGAGAGGGGAAACAACTCACATAGGGAACGCCGCCCTAGAGAAAGGAATAGAAGTTCAACTTGTCACTCTACACAAGATGACTAGTACGAAAATTATAGAAGAACAAAGCATAGGCACTCTGAACCAGCCAGTGAAGTGGCCACCCGGCTGCAACACAACTTCGCTTAAGATGACCTCATATATTTAGCGAAGGAGAAAGTGAAACAGACCCTTGTAAAAATGATCACAACTCCTTTTGTTCAGTCCACACAAGAAACTGAGCCCCCACGTATATTCTCTCCTTCATCCTGCGAGTTGTACGATAGAAAGTTTGATCCCGTCATCCACATTAGGGCCTTTTTAAATAAGATGGATCTCTAGACGAGCAACGATGCATTGATGTATAAGATGTTCTCCTCTAATATAGGTAGGTCAGCCCTTAAGTGGTTCCATGGGATGCCCATGAATTTGGTCTTCTCTTGGGAACAGCTTACAGGGGAGTTCGTCTTTCAATTCATAGCCAATAGTGGGGAACCAATGACCATTGACACATTTTTTGCACTACGCCAGAAACATGGAGAGACTCTCCATAAGAATGTCATAAGGTACTTGGAAAACTATACCAACATAGAAGAATGCGATGAGAAGACCATCATTATCTCTTTCCATTTGGACCTCCCAAAGGAAAGTGAATTGAGGAAGCACAACTCACCATGTGGCCACCCCGGAGTATGTCACACTGGCAGGAGCATGTTAAGATGTATGTGAAAGTGGAGGAAAAGGAAGACAACAGACCAATCTCTTGGCTACCAAAGAAAAACTAGATTGAGGAAGACAACACTCCCAACCTATCTATGAGAGATAGGTCATCCAAGGACATCAACATGGGACCAAAACCTCCATTGTTCTTATCATAAGGACAAAGGCCACTGGATAGAGAATTCCTTGACACTCAAGCACCACCAATAAGAGTTGGTCAAGCAAGACCACCTCTCTTGATACATTGATAAGGAAAAGATTACCAATGAGCAAAAAGAGGAATAAATCTAATTAGATGACCAACTAGATAACTAAGTTTTACTTTTAGTTTAGTCAACATTGTCTTCTTATTTCAATAAGTATCCAAAGAAATTTACTTTTCGTTCTCGTTTATTAGTAAGGAGAGGTTTGTTTTTCACAACTCTAAGTGTTCCTCTATTTGTGATTATTGCAACCTTCATGGTTGCACCTCCAAGGTTGAACCAACAATCAACCTCCTTGGTTGCACTTCGAGCTAACCTCATTGGTTGCAACTCAATCTAACCTCTGTTTTATCACCTACAACCAACCACTTTAGTTACACTTCAAGATAATTTTCATGGTTGCACCTCAAGACAACCTCATTGGTTGCACTTCAAGCCAACCTTCTTGGTTGCACCTCAAGACAACCTCCTTCATTGCACCTCAAACCAACCATCATGGTTGAACCTATAGCCAACCTCCTTGGTTGCTCATACAATCAACCTCCTTTGTTTCACCTCAAACCAACCTCCTTAGTTGCACCTCAAGCCGACCTCTGTGGTTGCACTTCAAACCAACCTCTGTGGTTGCATATATAGCCAACCTATTTGGTTGCACTTCAAGCCGACCTCTGTGGTTGCACTTCAAACCGACCTCTGTGGTTGCACTTCAAACCAACCTCCGTGGTTGCACCTCAAGCTAACATCTATGGTTTCACTTCAATCCAAACCCCTTGTGGTTGCACTTGGTTTCCCTTCAAGGATACTCGGCCTTCAGGCAACCTCCATGGTTTCCTTTGAAGGCCACTTGGTTTCCATGCAACCAACACGATTGCCTTTCAGGCTATTTCGTCTCCATAAAACCTCTAAGGTTGCCCTCTAAGTTACTTAGCCTTCAACATATGACAAACAACTTCTATAATTTCTCAGCAGGCTACTTAGCATTTCTTAAGGATTTTCCACCTCCGAGCATTAGACACCTTAACCCATGGCAACCTTATCCCTTCGATTAGAATGGGGGGGCACAAGTGTTAGAAAACTCGGACCCCCACCACCAAGGAATTTCTCCATGATCTCATGAATCAAGAATTCACTCTCAGGCCATGAAATATCCTCTAAAATTAGATATGATCCATTAATCCCGACTTGGCTTCCGAGCAACTCTTATCGCTCAACTAGCTCATGAGCAAAGTAAGTCAACCCCCTGTACAAGCAACAATGAATGCTTCTCCTTTCCTTCTATCAGCAAAGCTTCCTCCCTTCTCTTATCCCTAGCCAAACTCCAGAGCATTATGTGGAATGAAGGAAGAGGGGGAAGGGGGAAGTGAATATAAAGCCCTAAGCTACTTAGGCAATTAAAGCCTTATTCTTTTAGGCAAAATAAGCTCGTTACCAATAAGTTGGGTCCACGGGGTATCTAACCTTCAAATACATACCTCATTTAATGAAAATTGGTTAATTAAGGTATGGGGGGGGCAATTGTGGGGCATTAAATATTCAAGACAATAGGCAAGGACCACCTTGCTCATGCTAGTCGACAAATGGAAAAGGTCACCTTGCTTATGCCAGCCGGCAAAAGGCAAGAGGCATTTTGCTTGTGCCAATCAGCATGTGAGGAGGAAAGCCTCTACCAGTCGGCAAAGCCAACAAGCTAGGCCAAGAGGGATACCACTCCGCAAGGCTGCCACTCCGCAAAGCCAATAGGCAGGTTGGGCTCGCTATTGCCAATCAGCAGGTAATTAAGCATTCACTACCAATCGGCAGACTATCTAGCTAGGCCACTGCTAGTCGGCAGGTGGCTCTCCCAGTAGCTAGCAGTCAGCAGATAGGTAGGTCTTGCCACTACTAGTCAATAGGTGGCTCGGGAAAGTCCTCGCTCGTCCCCACTTGGATCCAAAACTACCTCAAACGAGTCCTACTCGGTGAAGGATCAACCTAGGACCTAGAATCCTAGTTTAATACTACTCCGAACAAACAGGAGCTAAGGATAAGAACAAAGGAGTAAAAGTCCTAATCTAGCACCACTCCGAATGTCTAGGAGCTGGTGATAAGGTGTTAGGATCCAAAGTCCTAATCAAATTCTACCCCATGCTTTTAGGACCTAGTGACAAGATTGAACCAATCAACAAAGAGTTTGGGTTCTATTGGGATACCTCTCCCTATTTTTATAAATAAAGGTCTTTGGGTACTAAGTAAATCATTCAATCCTAACCTATTCACTCTACACTTTTCTTTGACTTGTGATTTGACTTAAGCATTGGAGTCCCTTTGGCTGCCTCTGACCATCGATTCACCTAAGTATCTCTTCTTTTGCAGGTTCGTGAGGCTTTCTTCACCACCTTCTTCGTCCGTACGAGGTGCTTACTTATTGTATGAAATTATTCTCGCACAATAAATTTGGGAGGTTAAACTTTAAATATATTGACCATACTCAAATAATTACATAATTGTCTATCCCCAAACTCATCCTTTTTTTGAAATTGCATTAGTTACATTTTGATTTTTCCTTTTCACTTTCTAAAAATAAGTTAGTTTGTTATATATATATAATATAAAATAAGGCAGTTTCAATAAACTCATCTGATAGTCTCAATAAGATTAATCTAACAACCATCAATGTCCTTTTTAAAATTATTCACATTAAATATTTTTCTCTCTAAAATTTATTATTTTTCACTTACGTTATATCATACTTTCAATCACAAGTTATCTCTAATTTAAGTATTAAATAGTCAAGAATTCAAGGATCTAGCATTAGGGTCTACATAATTGGTCCACGGATGATTGGGACCAAGAAACAACTTGGTTGGTACCATTCATTGCCAGTTCCACTTGCTCATGTGCGCCTCCACACCAATAAAAAAAGTCCAGTTGCTCCAGAGTAGTTGCCAATTTGAGCACATGGGATAATATTACTTACCTTTAAAAATCACAACAAACCAAAAATCCTAACCTAAAGGTAAACCTTATCTCTAAGCAGGACCCACGTCCTCCCATCCTTCCACCTTCCTTCCATAGCCGCCACTTAAACACTAGCTTTGCCTATATAATCGCCTTTTCCTATTTCACCCAGAGAAGGGAAAATATTCTATCAACAGATCCCAGACTAGTTCTAACCTACGGCCGCACGTTAGCACATGGCAGTAGTTCGAGACCGCCGTCAGTTAAACCTACGCCTTCCCTTACCAGAACTCTCCGAACGCCGCCCAAGATTCACCTTACCGCTCCCACCCACTACCAATTCCTCTGCCGCCGCCGCCACCGACCTTGAAAAGCTCCAAGTCCTCGGCCACGGGAATGGCGGTACAGTCTATAAAGTCCGCCAGAAGCGCAGTGGTGTCGCTTATGCCCTCAAAGTAGTCCACGGCGACAGCGACCCAACAGTCCGCCGGCAGATTTTCCGGGAAATGGAAATCCTGCGTCGCACAGACTCACCGTACATCGTCCACTGCCACGGCATATTAGATGAATCATGCGGCGATATAGCTATTCTCATGGAGTACATGGACGCCGGCACTCTCGATTCCCTCCTCAAGACAAATGGCACTCTCTCTGAAACTTCACTTTCCAACATAGCACGTCAAGTTCTCAATGGTCTCACCTATCTCCACACACACAAAATAATTCACAGAGATATAAAGCCATCAAATCTTCTGGTAAACCACAACATGGAAGTGAAGATATCAGATTTTGGGGTCAGCAAGATCATGTATCGTACTTTAGACCCATGCAATTCCTACGTTGGTACGTGTGCTTACATGAGTCCAGAAAGGTTTGATCCTGATTCGCATGGTGGGAATTATAATGGGTATGCTGGAGATATTTGGAGCTTAGGGTTGACGATGTTGGAGCTGTACATGGGTCACTTTCCGTTAATGCCGCCGGGACAGAGACCTGACTGGGCCACACTAATGTGCGCCATATGCTTTGGAGAGCCGCCAAGTTTACCGGAAGGTGTTTCGGAAGAGTTTCGGAGTTTTATAGAGTGTTGTTTGCAGAAAGACTCTACCAAGAGGTGGACAGCGTCGCAGTTGCTGTCACATCCTTTTGTGTGTAGTGACGCGAAGTCTCAGAAATGAACTGATTTGGGCTGAAAATCCTATAAGACTCGCCGGAAAGTTGTTCTGCCGGTCATTAGATCTGAGCAGGGATGCATCAAGATTGGGGATTCGGACTTCGGAGAGAGAAATTTGGGAACGAATTTTTTGAAATTGCAGGAATTATTTCATATTTTCGAATCTTTGATGAAACGAACAGTTGGATCTGACAATATTCCAGAATTTCTTGTACATGAAGGAATTTCTTTCCTCCTCCTCGCCCTTTTGGGTACATGTATATTCTTCCCTTTAATATCCGAATATTCTAAAAGATGCTCCAATTCAACAGCAATTCCGCAGTCGAATTCAGGAGAGTTAGTCAAATATAGTAATTGTTTTTTTTTTTTTTGTGCCATGATTATATGAGGTTTCAGCTGTTCGGTCGATGGCAATGGAAAGAGAGAAATTTCACCCGGTGGTTCATAATCCGTATTTTCATAATTGTAATTTACTACCTGAACCAAAATTATAAGTAATGAATGATGAATCCTATGTCTTATAGGGTCTTGAGATATCAAGAATTGTCGGCAGACCAATTTTAATAAAAACTACTCTTTACCTTTTACATAATTAAATTGTTAACGTTTTATATAATTTTTTTTATTCTATAATATCTGATGTTTAATGAAACCAAAATATAATTAATATTTTTTTTTAAATTTATTCTTATTCCTGTTTTTTAATAAGTGTTTAATAATTATACTAAAAATATTTTATTAAATAAAAATATTTTAATCTTGTGTAATTATTTTTTACTTATATTAGAATTATTTAATAACTTTGTTTAATTTCTGTATAAAAACTTTAAACTTCACATATTTGGAAATGGAGGGGTATTAAAGATAAATACGTTCCGCTTAAATTTATAATTGGGTCTTTTTTAATTAACCATACGGAGAAAATGAAAAGACACGATTCATTCTATACAGGGTTGCAAAAAAAAAATTTAGGACTTATTTGCATGAAAAAAAAAGAACAAATATAGTACAAAGAACTAATAAAAGATAATTTTTTTATTAATTCAATCGAATGAACTTCAGTTATAGATACACTGAATAAATTATCTTGATTTGCAACAGTAACTATTTACTAAAACTAATATAAAAACTACCCCTAAAATGTCTAGATCACGGGTCTTGTGGAGTTTTTAGTGTATTCTTCATTTTCTCCATTATGTGCCTTTTTTTAGTTACTATTTTAGACGATTTTACTTTCATTGATAGATACTGATAGGTAATTTCTAATTAGTTACTTCCCTTATTTTCAAATATGGTTGTGTCTGATCACCTCTCATTTTTTCAAATTCTGCCATGTGGCACTATCTTAACGAACCTAGCACTCTACTTGTTGATACACTGAATATTCCTAGAATTTTATATTTTAGGTCCAAATAATTCCCTCACCATTCAATTGGATTTAATTAATAACCGAAATGAAAGAACAATCACGACCATTGTTCACTTCGAACGCCTACTTAAAGAGTTTTGGTGGCTAAACTATCCACTTTACTCTTCTCTAGTTGCTTTCTACTTCCTGCCCTCATTTTTCTTCGACGATTCTTCTTCTAGTGTTCAGATGGCTCTAAAGAAACAAAACCCTCCATCTTTGTCTTCATCTGAAATCTATTTATCTCTAAGATTTCCTATTGATATCAATCAGAGAGCCCATGATTCGGTGTATCATAGGATTTTGATTCCTACCCCCAGTTCTAGTGGGAATCTTGCTCTTGGTCCTTCCTTCAAGTCATAGGTCTATGAGGGATTCTCGAACCACTACCCCATTCACAAAGGTGAAACTCTACTGCTGAATCAATCCCAACTTCTGTGGAAGTCCTGGAATCATGGAACTAATCCTCTCTGCTCGTGGATTAACCTTGATCAACTTTGGGTTGATTGGGTTGCAAAGTTAGAGCCTCATTTTGCCTCTCAATGGAGACGCTTAGGTATCTTTTAAATGATTAAGCTATCCACTTGCAAAATGCACATTAATCTGTGGCTAATTGGTGTTGCCGTATGTTTCTGGTCCCAGTCATGCAATGTCATGCTCCTTCCTCTTAGCATGATGTCCCCAACAATAATGGTCATTTTTCATCTGATGAGGCTTTCATTGATAGCTATGGAGGTAAACGTTTGCATTTCTACTGATACTAGTCGTGATTTTGTCAATATCACTTCATGTATAAGGTATAATGGACTCATTAATCGCTTCTTTGCCTCTAAATCTCCTAACCCTCATTTATGGAGCATGTTGTTTTCCTTCTCCATTGGTTCTGCTGATTTGTTCTTTGTATTCTTGGATTTAAAGTAACTAAGGAATATTTTGGAGTAGCCATTCAATTGGCTAATAAAAAAAAAAGCGTACCTTGGCCCCCTTTGTTTTAGGGGCATTGTAGAAAGATCTTTTTAATTTGTCAAAAAAAAAAAAATGATTATTGTCAGTTGTGGAAGGCCCTTCTGGCTCTTCCAGGCTTGTTAGAAAATATTAATCACTACTTGGCCTCTAAATCTCCTAACCCTTCATTTGTGGAGCATGTTGTTTTCCTTCTCCATTGGTTCTGCCGATTTGTTCTTTGTATTCCTGGATTTAAAGTAACTAAGAAATATGTTGGAGTAATCATTCAATTGGCCACTAAAAAGAAGCTTGCCTTGGCCCCATTTGTTTTAGGGGCATTGTTGAAAGGTGTTTTTAATTTTTCAAAAAATAGGATTATTGTCAATTATGGAAGGCCCTTCTGGCTCTTCCAGGCTTGGGTCTACGCCTAATTTCTTGAGGTTTGGCCCCTCGAGTCTTTGCCGATACCCAATTATCATCCTCTGATCTATGCTCATCAATTTTTGTCTTCCCCAGCCTATAAGGATATGTTAACCTCTTTATACACTCCTTTTTTTTTTGAGTTCTTTTATTCTTTTTCTTTTCTTGAGCCATTCGTTGCTAACCCAGATATTGCTTCTGAAGAAGCTAGCGAATTGCAACATATCTTCTAGGGTAGTTTCCTGCTACCTTGTTACCTTCATGTGGGAGGCTCTGTATCTACCTCCAAAATTTTCAATTGTAGCTTGGAAAGCTACAATCCTAGTCAGTTAGCTAGACAATTTGGCCTGACTGAAAATATTTCTTTCCCCTACATGCACCCTTTTATCGATGAGCCTATAATTGAGAGGATGAAAATAAAATCAGATGTTCTAGTCCACCAAATCTCCCAAGCTTATGAGAAATTGCTAGAATCTTTTAGATTCTCTCATTTTGTCTCTAGACCATCTCAACATTCCTTTTATTCAAAGTGATGGTAGAACATTTTAGCCTTGATCTTCATCTGCTCTATAGACAAGTATGTGTCTAGGCTATGTTTTGATAATCAATACGCAAATGAAACTTGTGTCAGTTGAAAGAAAAAACTAGTTAAGGCACCTATTCTTATCCCCTACGCCCTGCTAATCCAAACAAGGGTAAGGTTGCCTTGATTGAGCCAAAGAAGAGAAGACAAAGAGGTTCTTCTCCAAGGCTACTACAATATGCCATCTATGCTCATGGCACTACTGCTCATTCCTCAAAAAAGGTTAAGCCTTCTTAAGTAGCTAGTGATATGCTAGTGATACTTGCAATTGACGAGCAAGAGACTGAAGAAACTCCACTTCTTTGCAAAAAGACAAGTGCTCCTCCATCATTGAATACACCAAAAAAGGTAGCTTCTATGAAAAAAACCTTCACTACCAATGTCATCTAATCTTTCTCTAAAGGGTGACAAAGAAGTAATTCTTTCTCCATCAAATAGTGGAAGGTTGTTGATTAGAAAACTCATCCCCTTAGCCAAGAACATTGGCAGAAAGTTTAAGGTGGCTACTGAAGTAAGAACTACATCTTTATGTTTCTCATACCTTCTTCTTTTGAGCATGCATTTTAATGTTTCAATTTTCCTTCTTTCAGAGAAAGGATAAGAAGCTAATTTTTCCATCAGAACACAAAAGTTCTGATTATTCTTCCCCAACTCCTTCAAGGTAAAAGGATAATACCATTCTAGAGGATCAATGAGACAACACAATGGCAGCTATAATTATTGACATCTCCTCAACAAGATTCTCCTACTAAAACTATCATTGTTCAAGAGGAGCCTGCCTGTAAAGACTCTATTGATCCAATTCTTGTTCTTCATATTGAGAGTCAAACTGAATTTCTTCAGCCAGATCCTCCTCAGTAAGGCCTTCCTACTAAACCAAGTCCTATTCCTGAGGAAGCTACCTATAAAGGTCATGTTGTTCCAATGCTTCCTAATCATCATTTGGCTAATCCTGATGGCCAAACAGATCAACTAAAAAAATTATTTCCTTCTGCTTCTTCTGTGAACCAGGTAATTTTTCAGTAATGTCTCCACTGCTTCATTTTTCTGTATCTTTTCTTGCTTTTCTTAACCAACTTTCTCATATTCTTTGCAGTCAATGCCTAAATCTAACTCTCACATCTCAATCTTAGATTTTGATATTGAAGTTATCCATCATAAAGCTTACTAGTTCATAAAGGCAGTTGACTCTATATCTTCCTCCAACATATCTCTCCCTCCCATCGAAGAGGCTTTGAAGTAAGAATTTTCACATTTCTTTAAACTGCTTGAGCTTTCTTTCGATCAACTCATCCAAGATGATCCTTTTACCATAATTTCCTACATGGCTAAGATTTATGTTGTCTCTTCTATTTACTTCAGAGAGCAACAACTATAGCAATAGAAACAACAAGTGGCCTACATGAACACCCATATTCAGACTAAGATCTCACAAGCTTGCTATTTTCAAGATCAGGTGAAGAATAAGGTAGGCTTTATTGAATTTCTAGTTTTTGGTGTATTTTTCTTATTGCTTGCTAAAAGCCCAACTAAAGTTAAGAAAGATACTTTCAATGAAGCACAATATTATTTTTGATTCAATATTCTTTTAATGTATGATTTATCCTTTTGATTTAATTCTTGTCTTTTAGTAAATTTTTTGCTCTATCTAATTTCATGATTCACTATGCCACGTATATCAAATGCTTCAGATTTCATGCAAGCCAAATAATTGGTTGTTTCATGCTTGAGTTAATTAATAGAATTTTCATAAACTAGTTTATTTATTTTTTGTATTAAAATTAGGGTTTATTGTTGGAAAGCTTGATTTATCGTAGACTCTGAGCACGATGAATGCTTGTGATATACAAGTTTATACCTAGATTTCTTCCTATGAGGCATGAATATGGATATGAGATATGAATACGATATGATACGGATACGGATACGATGATATGAAAAAATTTAAAAAAATAGGATATGGGTACGACTAGAATACGTTCATAAAATATATTTTTTTAAAATTTTTTTATTAT